TTAAATCTGCACTACAATTTCATGACTATTTTCTTTCAAATATTGCTCTGTAAAGAATACAAGCTGTGAAGGTAATCTACACTTGGAAATTGAACTGGTAAATTATTCACGAAGCAAAAAAAGACAATTGTAAAACAAGAAGATAACTCTAGACTGGAAGCTTTTGTAAAATAGATAAAAAGCAGAGGAATTGAGCTATTAGAGAATCAAATGAAAGGAAAGCTTAAGTTAACCATACACTAATACAACATAAGTAGTGAAATTGCAATCATAAAACGTGAGGACTCTGTCAAAAATCATGGCATCTTTTAATCACAGGAAAATCAGGTCCACAAGGCACACACACACACACACACACACACACACACACGTTTATATATAGGGATAAACAATCATCAGCAAGTGAAGATATGACACAAAGCATTTATCCATGATGATTGCTGATTAACAGTTATAGCACTGAATGTCATATGCAAGCATGTATTGAATAAGTATTAACTGAGAAAGGAACGTTCATCGAAGAGGATCAGAGCTTTCTTCAAATTCTCTACCACTTTGAGAAATGGATCAAATTTTCAGTCATTCTGTTATGTTGAATTAAAAAAAAAAAGTGTACTCCATGGAAAAATAAGGAGTTTAGATTCTGCAGAATACCTCGCAGTGTAGCTGCAATGATACTCTTCAAAGATCTTAAAGAAAGTTCATAGGATATTCTTTAACAGTTTCTATAGAATGTATGCTAAATTAAAGTCCCTACTGTGATTTAATTTTCTCATAACACTAGTAGCACTAAGCTAAATTTTTAATAAGGAAAACTGGTAAAAGAAATGGAAATGATATTTGTAATTGCTGCAGCTTTAGACTCATGCCTTTGTTACATCATCATACTCCAGAAGGTCATGTATTAAAATAATCCTTCAGTAAAGGCAAGACATATAGATACACCGCTTCAAAAGCATACCGCTAGAACTAGTTTCATTTGTAGAAAACCTTTTGTTTGTTTGTTTTGTTTTTTGAGACAGGGTCTCACTATGAAGCCTCACTCAGATGGCCTTGCTACGTAGACCAGTCCTGCCTCCAACTCATAGAGACCCACCTGCCTCTGCCTCTCAAGTGCTGGGATAGACGGTGTTTTCCACCATGCCTGGCAAGAAAATATTTTAATAATACATCAAGGTAACATTCCTTATTGAAATTTCTAAAGATGCTTTCAGGTGAATTTCTGAGAAAAAGATTATCTAAACATGTCTGGCTTCCTGAGCAGAAGGGAAAATGAAGTATCTTGGAGACGCCAGCAAAATGGGTAGTTTAGTACACGATTCCTCTATCACTGATATCACGCAACCCTTTTTTTTAACCTCAGAACAAATGAGTGCATAAGTGGCATGAATGCGAAAGAAGATAGGCAGATGACAAGGAGCCATGTTCAGTTGCACTATGACTACAGAGGCTCTCTGTTGTCCATGATGTTAGTCAGAAAGAAGCCACTTTGGGACTAGAGAGATGGCTCAGCAGTTAAGAGCACTCACAGCTCTTGCAGAGGACCCGGGTTCGATTCCCAACACCCACATGGCGGCAATGAACCGTCCTTAACTCCAGTTCCAGGAGAATCCGAAGCCCTCTTCTGACCTCCCCGGCATTGCACGACACGGGTGCACTCACATACATGCAGGCGATACACTCATACACATAAAATAAAAATAATAAATAAAATACTTTAAAAAATTGTTTAAGAAAAAAAGAAAGAAGCTACTTTGTAAATTCACCTCAGACAGAAATACAGAAATCAGAAACATTGTCCTTCGAGAATCTCAGTCAGTTATGTTTCTGCCATCTTCAGTTAAGCACTTTGGTGAACATAAACTTTAACAAGCCTGGCCATTTGTGCAAACCCTGAGGGCAATTTACACACAGACTTAGCCTACATGGGAAGGGAATCTTGAAAATGTCTATATGAAAAATTTCAGATTAATGTTAACTAAAGAGAAACTAAACAGCACTTAAAATCTACCAAACAATTTGTATTTATACAAGGAAATGTTTTAAATTACTAATCGGGTTCAAAAAGTTGTACTTCTTTCATTTAGTTGAAAATAAATGTTGCTTACATATTTATTCAGTTACAGGTGGCTGTGTTTTGAAACATTTTTTTCCCCAAATTAGCTATTAGCTGCCTGAATACCAACCAGTTAAAGAATGAATGAACTGTGAAGTGTGGCATTTGCTTTTATTATGCTGTTTGAATGCCACTAGGTTCTCTGTGAAATATCTTACTAATGGATAGAAAAATGTCTGTCTCTAAATTTAACCTTTTATTTCAGATCTAAAAATAGGTCCTCTCTGGTGAGTCTTCTGAAGTCATTTAAATTTAAACTTAATGATGTCATTGAGAAATTCTCCTCCCTTTTCATGTTTCAGAATCTAAAAGATAAAAAGCATTCATCAAGGTGTTATAGTCTTAGGTAAGATAATTTATTGCTCTACATTTTTACAAATTCAAGATCCAAATTAAACCAAAAATAAAAGTCATATTTTAGAATTCATTAAAAATATAAATAGGTGAAGTTCAGGGATTCAAGAGATTAATTCATCTTTTATGGAAACATTTGCAATAAATTCAAAGTTAATGAATATTCTGACACTTAATATATTTAAGGTTTATAGCTTCTCAAGTTTAATATCCAAAATACCCTTCAAAAAGTACATAAATGCAATGGACCAAAAATAAAGGGCATCAGAGGACAAAAACAATTTCCAGAGTTTATGTTAGCCGTACTATATCAAGATGTAGTGCAGAATTTCTCTAATAGACCAATGAAAATAGCCTTAATCATGCAGTTCCATCCTTATAATTAATAGAAATGACTTTGATGTTTAACTTTTATTATCTGTATGTGTGTATGTATGTATTTTCACATAAGTGTAGTGCCAATAGGGGTCAGAGGTGTCAGATCCCTTGGAACAAGAGTTACAAGTGTTTGTGAGTTTCCCAGAGTGAGTGTTGGGAACAGAACTCTGGTCCTCTGCAAGAGTAGCACAGAAATATTTTAAGTCAATCTTTCATAAATACAACCAAAGGCTTATGATATAGATACTTTAAATGCAATTACTGATACACTACTAAAGCCCCTATTTTGGTATTAAAGGAACAGCTTCTTTTATAGTAGCAAGCTTTTATCACTTCTCTTTTGAAAAGATTCTGGAGAGAAAATGCCTAGATACAAACACTGGCCCATGTCTTGTGAGCCCATATCCTATAGCCTCATGCTGTTTCTTCAGCTGTAAAAGAGATTATGGGGATATTGTGGGGATTAATTATTTCTATAAGGAGATACATAAATACAGATTTATATATACACAGTCATATGTATATGCAAACACATTTATACACACAAACATATATATAAGCATATGTAAACATTTACACACAAACAGACACACACACACATACACATATATATGAAATGAACAAGCGTAATATTAGCAGGTTGCTTTACTCAATGCATAGATTTCTAAGGCCAGGTCTTCTAACTGTAAGAAATTTCCTTGTGAATATGTCTTTCTAATTTAAGTTCATGTTTGTTTTCACAGAACAAAAACAAAACGCTCCCTTACTGCTCTTCAAATATTCTAAATTTTAAATGATTGATCCATGACATTATCTCAAAATTCACCATAAAGTTTGAAAATATTAGACCACACCAAACTATACTATCTCAACCCACGTGCTCTCTCCTTTCTGTGTACAGGCCAGTGACATTTTACTACCTTCATTTTTGTGCTTTTAGTTGGCAACTCTATTATTCCTTTTGTGAACTTTGGTCTTCTGGGAGGAGTTAAGTTTCAAAAATTGAATACTCCAAGGTCACAGTGATACTAAAGACAGTTCAGAAAGACATTTGACAACCCTTGGCAAAGCATATTGATTTAGAACTCTCGTGTTGTTATTTTAGTTTTTCCTTCAAACATTAATGCTAATTCATTTTGACATTCTAGTAAAATTCCATTTTCAGGTCATTCTCACGCTTGGTGAAGACATGTAAGGTCAACAGATGCAACAGATAACTTTCTGGCAGAGATTAGACTACATTCTGGCAAGTTGGTTTTCAACTGTCAAATTTGGCCCCTCATCTACATTAGAATTGCTTATATTAAAGATTATATACATTTAATCTAGCAACAGAAGCAGTCACATACTGGTCCCTAGCATGGATAGTTTTTTATGGCTTACTGAAATAACTTTTTGCAACAATTTAAGGGAAACACAAGTCATTCAATCCCAAAATGATAAGAAAAGCATGCCATAATGCCAGGAACATACTTCAAGGTACTGAAAAGCTGTTTAATTTTAGTGTGTGTGTACAGTTTAGTGAGAAAATTAGAATTTAATATGTGTAAGGTAGTTTATTTCTGGACTGTAGAAGAACATTACCTAGAAGATTGAAGTTTCATAAATTTCTGAGAATTTAAATTATTCACATTAAAAGATGATGCTCTTAAGCTCAATTTCTCAAAGAATACTATTTTGCTGATTAACCATGTCTGCTTTAGTTTTAGTATTCTCTCTGATGTTATCAGATGCCTTCATGGTACATGTTCACTAGCATTCTGCTGTCACTGTTAAAATGTGAATTGTCATCAAAATATTTCCTTCTTTATTGCTAAAATTTATCATAAAATAACTATATTACCAGAACGTTCAGTAACTGATGCTGTCAACAGTATGTTATTTGGCACAGTGGGAAAAGAAAGGCTTGGTGAAAAATAAAATAAAATAAGACTTGAAAATTGCTTCCAGGACTGTTAAGTAAGATAAAATATGGAGACACTCAGCATACATATCTTCTAAGGCAGAGCCATAACATATGTCAACTTACAGTTATAAGTTGACAGTTATATTTACAGTTTTAACTCCACAAAGTAACTACTAAGGTTGAGGAATTTAAAGAAAAATCATTGCAATACAACATAAAATAATTTTTTAAAGTTTGCATTCTTACCTTTCCTGTTTTTTTCCCTTCAGATTTCCGCTGATTTGGGATGAATGAGGCAAGAGAAGGAAAACAAAGCAAAACAAGAACAAAAAAAGAATCAGCTCTATTTTCGTGACTGCAAAATATATTTTTAAAAAGATATGTCAATATTTTAAAATCAATAAAACACAATTTTATTCTGCTGTAACAGGTTTCATGTGTTTTTTTTAGCTAACAGATATAACTGTATTGTAAATTTCATGTAAGAACATGAATGTCAGTATGAAATATTCTGATTGGCATTTAAATTTAAGTTAGCATTCATATGCATTAGTCAAAAATATATGCCATTTCAATTAGATAGTCTCTTACGATATCATATACTTTCCAAACATTTTTAAATAACTGGGTCTTTATTTCATATATGAACACATTTCTTAATTAAATCAGGATGAACAGTGTTGGTTGGGAATTCTTCAACTAAAAACATAAGAAATATCTATATCGCATCAGGACATGATCTCTAAACATTAAGTCAATAACTTTGGTGGTTCTTAGGCACATCTTAATTAAATTCAGTTCAACTAAATTCCATTTAAAACCATCATGATGAACTCATATGGATCATTTTATTTAAGACTTTCTCTGGAATGACCCTCAGGAGACATCTTAATTTACTTTTTAAGAATCAAGCAGTATTTAGATCATTTGTCTTTATAGATTAATTCTGCCTTGTAAAGGATGAAAATACTACACAAGTGGACCAAATGTCTACGTTTATAACTAATGATAATTCTCAATGTATTTTTCTGCTTTGGTGTAATTGTGCTGTCCATTGTATAGCAATGCAAACATTATTCAGGCAGCCTTCTGGAATGGACACAATCGAAAATTGAAATGGTAGCAGTATTTATTCTTCAGTAAGTATAAATACAAAGAGAAATACAGTAAAGATCATAAGAAAAGGGATAGTCTATATTTTCAATCTGATGGTCTCCAGGCCCAGAGGATGAAATTTTATCTGTCCTGTAAACACAAGTTAACTTTCAAAGTTGGAATCTAGGCATGTTCCCAGAGAAGTGTACACTATATTATCCAAGAAAAGAAAAGTGAACTTTTTGTCATTTCCCTTTGGATGTTTTAACCTTAAAGTGCTCATACTGTACATCTGCATCAATCAACATCAACCATTAATGGCTCAGTGTTAAAATCCAACCTGTTTGGGAAGGCATAGACTCAGGATAATGCCTGAAGTAACTGTATCCAAGATAGTGTGCTTAGATATTTTTGTCTTCATGTAATGAGCATTTATTGGGTTATTATCCCTTTATTATGAATGATGATGCTTCAGTAAAAAATTAAAATTTTAGTTATATAAGAAATAGTATGCATGCACAACGAAAATCATCCATCTTTTACCATGTCTAAAATATAGTCGTAAAAATAAGATTTAATGTTGTGTAGAATCATGGTGAATCATTTTGTTTGCTGCACTTGAAATTACTTTAAGAACAAAGTAGATTTTTAGATGTTTTATCCCCTCATTCACAAGTATTCTTAGCTTTAGTGAAACAAGAAAATATAGTAAAAATATCAGCCTTATTTCCCTTTGTGAATTAGTGAGCCTCTGAAAATTGAATGGCTTAACCTGTACTGAAGTGAGCATTTGAGGCCATGATTCCAAAATATGCCCATTACCTAAATCACTAACTTTAGAGTATTGCCTAAAGTGTCTTATTTTTGACAATATTTGAGAATTTTTATCCATGAAACATCAAAATAGATAATACTGTAATGACTAGTAAGGTGATAGTCTTGGACTTTTTGTATCATGCAGACACAATACAATGTATGATCATAAGTGTGCCCTGATGCATTTTCCCTAGGCAAACACTACAGTTAATAGAAAATATTATAGCGGTGGGCACGTAAGTTGTAAATTGACACTAGATTTTTGCCAGAAAAACTGAAAAATAATCAATGCGAGGGCTACAGGTGGTTCCACATATCAAAAAAATCCAGCAATTGTGAGCCAAAAGGAGAAAGATCTTGACTCTGAGCCTGGCATAGTCAACATAGCAAGACCTTGTGTCAAAGGAAAAAGAAATCAATATCAGAAGGGGAAATATAAGCTAAATCTAACTTCTTTTTTAATGGAGACATGAATTTTTCCCTGATTTAAAAACTCTGTGTGTGTGTGTGTGTGTGTGTGTGTGTGTGTGTGTGTGTGTGTGTGTGCATATAGTGAGCAGGGAGCTAAAAGTTAATCAGTATGCATGTTTGTTGGCTCACTTCCATAATATGCCCTATACATGCAATCTTTGATAGGTTATTAATAACTTATTTCTATGAATGGATTCATCCTCTTTCTACAACAGATGAATATTGCCCTTATGACATCTAAATTTCTAGACTAAGAGAGAAAATTAAATACAGCTGTAGAAAAGGTACACGTTTTATACTGTGCTGAGGAAGTAACCTATATTTTTAACATCAAGAAAATATTCTAGGTTTGAAGAGGTGGCACCGCAGTTAAGAGCACTGATTGCTCTAGTAGAGGACCCAAGTTAGTTAATGTTAACAAACTTCTGTAACTCCAGTTCCAGGGGATATGATGCCCACTTCTCGTCTCTGTGTGCTTGGCACAACATGGGTGTATTTACTTACATCCAGGCAAAACACACATACACATAAAATAAAAATAAATATATACATTTTTTAAAGAAAAGAACTCTCATAGTTCTAATATAATAATGCTGTCATTGTAAGTAAATCATCATTCTCATTTTACTGGGAAGAAAAATCTAAGTAAAGAAGCTTCTCAGTTTTTAAAAATATTTTATTTATTTATTTATTATTTTTATGTGTATGCGTGTATTGCCTGCATGTAGGTAAGTGCACCTGTATCATGCAATGTCTGTGGAGGACAGAAGAGGCTGTCAGATACCCTGGAACTGGAGTTACGGATAGTTCCTGGCTGCCATGTGGATGCTGGGATACGAATCCGGGTCTTCTGCAAGAACAGCCAGTGTTCTTAAATGCTAAGCCATCTCTCCAGCCCCAGAAGCTTCTCAGTTTTGAAGAGAATGTATCTACTGGATTCTAAAATTCTTATATTGCAATTTAAGCATGATGAAAATAAACTTTTTGTTCATTTTGGAGTTTGGAATAATGCTGAGCATTCAGTGTCTCCAAAAGTGTTTGGCACAAATGAGACTTTGGAGATAGATAGATAGATAGATAGATAGATAGATAGATAGATAGATAGATATTAAAAATATGGAAACATACATTTATGTCCAAATCCTGGCTATAGCATTTAATGTCTATGTTACACCAAGCAAGTTTGCACTTGGATTTTCTTAGACCCATCATCTGTAGAAGAAAAAAACAAGTTCCTGCTTCAGAATATTTGTAGGTCAAAATATGTGAGTAAATAAAGTGTTTCAAATAGTACCTAACATTTAAAAAATTCTATGCATTTTATCTACTAATAGTAGTTTTTATACTAATAGTAAATTATTATAAACTATGTGCAATTTGCATACTATACAGTGTAGTCACGTAAAATGTTAGTAAAAACTTTTCAGTATGCTCACTGATATTAGTAATATTAAGTACAGCCAATTTTAGAATATTCTTCTTACTCAAATGAATCTTTATATCATTTATCTCTTCTCCCTGTCTAATTCACCACATCATTAGAAAAGCTTTAAAAACCTAGTTTAACATCAATAAAGGTCAAAGTTATGTTTGCGTTCACAGATAATTTTCCCCTTTCTTTCCCTCTTATTTCTATTCCCTCAGATTGTTTTTAATAACCATTAATATACTTTTTAACCACAAAGCTGCTCAGGTTCTAGGTAGATGTATAGAATCATTTTGTATGTGATCTTTTGTAACTCAGTTCTTCCATGTAGTAGAATGATTTCAAGATTCATTCCTACTGTAGCAGCATGTTTTAGTAAGTGCACTCCCTTTGTTGATGTAGTACTATTCTATGGTAAAAGTTCTTCATGTTTCATTACTCATTTTTTCACTGATGGATATTTTCTTGTCCATACATTTTGGATATAAGGCATAATGTAACTGTAAACATTCAAGGATAATGTTCTATGTGAACATATGTATTACCATGGGTATATAATTTAAAGTACAAATACTAGTCATATATTAATGATGGTTAGTTGTTTGAGGAATTTACAGAGTGTTTTCCAAAGCCACTTGAAGTATTTTGTTTCCAATATTGTGTAAAGGTTCCCATTCACTACATCATTCACTACAAGGAAATTTATTCAATCTCATTCATCCTTATAATTATTCCTTCCAAATGTTTAAACATTAGAACCTGATACCAACATTCCATTTCCTTATTTTATGAGTGTGGGTCTACCTTTGCTACACTGATAGACCCATACTGATACACATATGTCGAGTGCTAATTGGAGTTTGTGTTTTTCAAAAAATAACAAGATATAAAATTGTGAGGTGGAAATACTGGGAGTGTTACAGTGAGAGATGAAGGAGGAAAATGGGGAGTGTATATGTTATAAAATTCCTAAAAGTAAATAAAAGTATTATCAATTGAAATCCAAAGCTTTATATATGTGTTTGTGTGTGTGTGTGTGCTGTGTATTTGTGTGTGTGTGTGTGTGTGTGTGTGTGTGTGTGTGTGTGTATAATCACTATAAACATCTTCAAGAGAGGGCAAGTAGAAGAAGGAATGTGAGATCGAAGAATAATGACACTGTAACTGCTTAGCAAATGATAAAGAAATTGAGAATATTAACATAAACGTAGTTTCTGCTGGATAGCTTTAGTGTCAACTTGACACACCTGGGTTGAGGGAGCCTCAACTGAAGAATTCCCTTCACTGGACTGGCCTGTGGCCATGTCCATGGGGCACCTTCTTGATTGTTGAGTGATTTGGGAGGGCCCAGTCCATTGTGGGTGATGCCACCCCTGGGCCAGTAGGCCTGTGTTGCATAAGAAAGAAGGCTGAGCATGGGCCAGAAGAGTTCCTCCATGACCTGTGCTCCAGCTCCTGCCTCCAGGTT